TGAGGAGCTGATACCCAGGACTTAGGTGGAGAGCAAATGTTTTGAGAATGATGAGGGCAATGAATGTACAAATGTGCTTTACACAATTGATGTATGGATGGATTGTGATGAGTTGTATGAGCCCCTAATAAAACAATTGAAAAAAACACACAAAACAATAAGAACAAGCAAAAAAATAAAATAAAAATTTGATGCTATGAAAGAAAAGGGTTGAGTTACATCTGTGGTTTTCAAGCAGGAACAATTGTGTTCTCTCTCTCCTACCTAACCCCAGGGAATGTTTGGTAATGTCTGGAGAATTTTCAGTTGCCATATTTGAGGGAAGGGGGTTGTTACAAGAATCTTGTGGTTAAGAGACCAGGAACACACTACCATGAACAGGCCAGTGCCCCAAACAAGGAATTATCAGGCCTGGATGTGAACAGGGCTGTCATGGAGAAATTCAGAGCCAGGCAATTGTAGTGCTGACACCTCATTTAGGTTGGTGTCAAAGAAGGGGGAGCCCTGGTGGTGCTGTGACCACATGCAGGATTTTTACCCCAAAGATCAGCAGGTAGAGGCCCCGGTATGGTCAGGGGGAGTCAGACTTCATCTAGGGCAAGGGGGTTTTCTGGTTGAGGTGTGACATTTAGGCTAAGCTTTGACAGGGGTGGTAAACAACTGACAAGAGGCAAGTAGAGAAGCATCCCAGCCAGAGGAGGGCACTGATGGGCAAACAACAGTAAAACATGAAATACATTGGGGCATTGTGTACATATGTACAGAGGGGAACAAGGTCTTTCATATGTAACTTTTACACGTTGTTCGAATTTTTTGAAAACTCACTTTAAAAAAAATTAGAAATGGAAGAAGAAAAATCACAAAGAGCAGAGAGCTTTTTACAAAATAAGGTAACTTTCAGTGAGGAAGCATCACCAGGTTCAGCCTGCCCTGGTGGACTGAATGTAAGGCCTCTGCATGTACACGTAGAGGGTGGGGCAGAAAGGGGCAACCAATTACAGGGATCTCCATATAACCTCCTCCCTGGGGGGATAGACCACAGAAAAGTGGGTGAAGGGAGACGTCGGACAGGGCAAGATATGACAAAATAATAATCTATAAATTATCAAGGGTTCATGAGGGAGGGGGGAGCGGGGAGGGAGGGGGAAAATGAGAGCTGATGCCAGGGGCTTACGTGGAGAGCAAATGTTTTGAGGATGATGAGGGCAATGAATGCAGAAATGTGCTTTACACAATGGATGGATGTATGGATTGTGAGTTGTATGAGCCCCCAATAAAATGATTGAAAAAAACAATAAGTAGGTAAAGTCGGTAGCTCAACGAGTTCATTTTGCTGGCTCCTTAAGTCCAAATTCTCCCTAGGGAAAGAGAAGTGACAAGTGGGTGACAGAGCAGAAAGCCGCTCTGGGGGGAAGTGTTTTTGTTCCGTGTCACCAAGTCAGTTCCCGCCCAGTGACCTCATGCAGGCCAGAATGCACCACTCCGGCTCCCGCAGCATCCTCACACGTGCTTCCTATGCTGGAGCTCCTTTGGAGCCGCGGTGTCGATCCAGCTCCTTGGAGAGGGTCTTCTTTTCTGCCGCCCCCCTCCTTTACCAATGATGCCCTTCTCTAGGGATGTCTCTTCTGAGAACACGTCCAAAGTAGGTCGGACACAGTCTTGCCATCTTTGCCTCTAAAGAGCACCCTGTCCATACTTTTCCCAAGGCAGATCCGTTTGTCTGCCTAGCAGCCCTGGCTCAGTTCAATACTCTTCTCCAGCGCCACACTCCAAACACTCTTTCTTTCTTTTTTTCGTGTATTAAGTTTATTTACAAACATAACCAGTATGCTATTAAGTTCAGCAGAGCTTGATGCAATTTTCAGAGGTTGGACTTCATACAATGTTCTTCTCATCTGTTTCACAGATGAATTTAAGCATCCTATTTCTGAAGCAGTTGGTGTCTTACTATAAAGGTGCAGCAAATCCAGACCCAAAGAACATGGTCATCATAACCAGTAACCGCCACTTGTTTTCCACAGAAAATGGCAAATTCTTCCCAGGGCCCTCCTCATAGTGGCTCCTCCGGACCACAGAGGTGGTAAACCTCCGGATGCTCTGCTCCAACATGGCGCTTTGGAGGCTCCGCGAAACTCAGAGAGAGAGACCACAGAAGAAATGGTGTTACCAGTTCCTGCTCTCGACCTTCCAGGCTCTTCTTTCATAGGCATGAGGCCATCGGACATCCCATCGCTGGGGTCAGCCACAGCATAGTTCTCAAAGCAACATGCTGCTTTTCAATACTCTAAAGAGGTCTTGTGGAGCAAATTTGCCTAATACGGGTGAAGTGAAGGCTAGGAGAAAAGTGATTTAACAAAAAGAAAAAAGTAACAGCACTTGTTAAGTTACTCCTGTAAATTACAGAATAATCCTGATGCAGTTGATAAAATCACCAGGAGATGATTATAGCGCAGCTTCAGGCCCTTGGTAAGGCCAGCATCTCCTAAGGCAGCCCAAGATCCCCTGGTATGAAATGGAAAGAGATTATTATAGAACGATTGTGTGGGGTTGGAGTCCAGTAGTGTGCATAGTTCATAAAAATATCTGCCTCCCAGAGACTAGAAGCAAACGGGATCCCATGAATGCATGAGTCATCATTCCTCCACCCAGTGCCCGGGAGACCATACTTCCCCAGTAACCCAGTTACCGGATAGATAGGTGAATGCAAAATATACATTCTCCAACCGTTTGAACCCCCTGGCTCCAGCAACAACAGAAGTGGCAATTTACCCATTTCTTCCCTTGTCACTCCAGGATTTTCTCTAACAAAATATATTTTCTGGCTCATTTTACTTGCCTTTCTAAATTTGAGTTTCTGCCTTGGAAGTGTTTGTAGGCTGTGAAAAGCAACTTAACTTTACAGAACTGTTTCTTTTCGTGACCTTGAGGCAACTCTAGAAGCTAAGACACCAAGTGGAATTGTGTGTCGGGAAGGGGGTGGTGTAATACAACATGCACCAGCACCTCCTCCAGCATCCCTCTTGTTAGCTGGACCCTTGGGCAAGTGCGCCATGGACTGAACATTCATTGTAGCACAGCAAATAATAAGTCACGCACGTGAACCCACATAACCTTCATGGAAGCCATTTATAGAAAGGTCCTGAGAAATTGAGACTCAGACTCGTGAAACTTCAGGGCAGGAAATAAATAATAAACATATCCTCAGCAATTGCTATAATTCAAACTTTGGGGGGGCTGTTCTTTCCAGTGTTGCCCAGATCTCAGGCACTTCCTCCCCACAACCTCACCACAACCCCACAAACCCTACCAACAACCCCAAACTCCAGCTAAGTTTAGGACCAGATTTAGGAGGGTGGGGGAGCAAGTTAAGGCTTTCCGGAACACACAGGGGCAGTTCTGCCCGGTCCTGTAGGGTCGCTGTGGGTCAGAATCAATGTAGGAGGCAGTGGGTTTGGCTTTTAGGAGGTGGGAAGGGTTAGAAGGGTCGGTAGGCGGGGGCAAGGACACACAAAAAGGCTTTAGCTCCAACTCAGAATTGTGCTGTTGTGTTCCGGTTTGAAGTATCTCACCAGTTTTTGCCGGATTTGTTCGAGCAAAAGGTGTGCTTTTGCCGGATCAAACTGGACTTTAAAGCGAGTTTAAAGCGTGACTTTACCTCCTCGCAGATTGAAGGAGGCATTTGATTCTCCCCGATCCTCCCCCTTCCCCTGTAAAGTCTGCACATAAACTCGTTGCAACGCTCGTAGCACCCAGCCAAGTGCACTTAGCTGAAGCTATCTGCGTGCCCAGTGAGAGCCACCGCGGGGCCAAGGGTGACGCCGGGGAAGAAGGAAGCCTTGTCGTCTGCGGGGGGCCGGGCCGCCGGCGTGTGTGGCGGCTCCGCGTCCGAACCGCCAGAGCAGCTTTCGAAGTTGGCCAACAAAGCGTCTCCCGAGCAACCGCCGGGCCCCAGACGCCGCTCCGCCCGCCCGGCTCCTCCTCCCGCCGGCGCCGAGCCACCAATCCCCGCCACGCAAGGGCCCTTCAAACGGGCCTGCGGCGGCCGCTAACGGGCGGCCCGGCCCGCGGCCGTCCTGCCCCCGCGCGCGGCCGCTTCCGGTCTCCTGGTCTCAGGGCCGCCGCCGCCCCGAACACGCGCCCGCGGGCTGTGTCCCAGGCCGGCGGCCCAACACCACCGTCAAGTGCCTGCCGCCTTAAAGTGACGCTTTCCTCCGTGCTTGGGTCACCTCAGGTCCTGTAACGGGAAAATCCCCGAGCCTGGTACACGCGGGCCTTACCCACGTGTGCGTGTGTGTGCGCGCGCGGGGGAGCGCCAGCTTCAGTCTCCAGAGGAATTCCTAAATGGGATTCCCAAATCCAGTCCGTCCCTTCCCGGCGCTCCCCCGTCGGACCCGATCGCGTTTCCACGCGCCTTCCACGGCGGGTGACAGGTTGCCACGGCACAGCCGAGCCGGGGCCCGGCCCCGCGCTGACGTCGGCGCGACCTGATTTGCGTTTTGGGTTTTTTTTTTTTTTTGAAGCTTAGGGAAAGTCTAGCTGTGACATGTGACAGTTGCTTTGCTTCAAAACAACGGCGCCCACACGCGCCCTCCAGACCGCGGGGGCGGGGAGGGCCCCTCAGCACCCACCTGGCTTTGGGGAAAGGGTCAGTTCATCACCGAACCCCTGACGGGGGCCTCCCACGTCTCACAGGAACGTGTGTGCACTTCGGTTTGAAATGCGGACGGGGAGGCCCGGGGTCCCAAAGGAGGGCCTGTCCACCGGGGCGGACGCGCAGCCTGTGCGTGGTCGTCTCTCTCCCGTCAAGGCGGGGTGCGGTGCCCGCCCGGAGTCACGGCGGGGGGACGGGCATGTGAGCATGACCAGTGTCTGCACCCCAGCGGATTTCGAAAGCGCCCTGCCACCCAGCCCGGAACTCGCAGCCGGAGCCGCGGGCGGTGCTGCGTCGCACCCCCTAAGTCCCCGCGAAGGGTGCGCCGAGGCCCGCCCGCCCGCGCGCGCGGTCCGGGCAGCCGCTGCCGCTGGAAAAAGTTGGTTCTTCTCCGCACTACTTTCCCTCCGGCGCCCCGCCCCTCGGGCAGGGAGCGGCCGGCGGCTCCCGCGGCGGGCGCCGGGACCGCGTGGTCCGGTGCAGCTGTCCACCCCTGGAGCGGCCGTTGGGGCTTCCCGCGGGTGGAGGAGGGGCTGGGCGACCCCCTCGGGACGCACC